TTGTAACCACTGATGAGGAAACCGAGTGGCAGCTCTTTAAGAGCGGCATACTCGAGGCTGCCGCCGAATGTTGTGGCAAAAGTCAAACGTGATTCCTGTGAGAAGTTTGATGAGGTGCTGGAGTCCAGTTCCAAGTCCATTGTTTTTGCAGACCATCCGCAGGCTCCAAGGAGAAAAGAAGGATAATCGGAGAGTCTTGAGGGCAGGTCTGTACATTCTATTACCACGGATAATGATATTCTTTGGCCACGGAGAGAGTACCGTGAGGAACTCCTTAACTCGCGAGCAACCGCAGGAAGACTTGTCTGTAGAGCAGCAGGGAACGGATATCACTATCCGTGTAGATGAAATAACAGAAGCTGTGAGAAGCTTAAAAAATGGAAAGGCTGCTGGAATTGATGAAATCCGCCCTGAAATACTCAGGGCATTACGATAACATGGCATATTCTAGCTTACACGTGTCTGTGAAACTGCGATGACTACGGTAATAACACCAGCGGATTGGAGAACGAGAGTTATTGTACCCATATTCATGAAGGGAGACCACAAGGAATGCTCCAATTATAGGGGAATAACATTATTGAGCCTCCCACGTAAAGTCTACGCAAAGGTGTTAGAAAGGAGGTGCCGTGAAATAGTTGACCTCAAGATCCAAGAAAAGCAGTGTGGCTTCCGGCCCGGTCGAAGGTCGAAGCACCTCTGACCATATACCCTGGGCCAGAGCGTGATGAAATCGTGGGAGTACGACCGCCGGTGTACATGTGTTTTGTTGAGCTAGAAAAAGCCTATGACCGGATCCCACGCAACAGTCTGTGGTCATGCCTTCGAGCATACGGGTTATATGGCCAGCTGCTAAGGGTCATCCAATCACTGTATTCTGATCGCAGGTTCTGCGTGACAATGGCGTCAAGTCGAAGCCTTTTATCGTTGGCATTGATCTCCACCAAGGCTGCGTCCTGTCTGCTCTCCCGTTTGTTGGACACGGATAGCATAGTCAGGAGCAGCCAAGGCGATGAGTGTATCGGTGTAAGAAATATGAAGACGAGAAGGTTGCTGTTTGCAATCGACCTTGTTTTATCGATATCTTCTGAAACTGATCTTCAGTGCTCCCTAGAAAGGTTAATAGCCAAATGCGACGTGTCCGACATGCGTGGGAACGCATCTAAAACGAAAAGCCTAGTGCTTTCTCGTTTTCCTACCCGTTGCTCTCTTCAGATTAACGGAGAAGCATTGGGGCAGGTGGAGAAATGGAAATTGCTCGTGGTTGTCTCTATTGTTGATGGAATATTTGAGAAAGAGATCGTCAGACAGCTTGGAGTAGCCAGTGGTGTTCTGCATGGACTAGACTGATCCACTGTGACTAAAGCAGAGGTGAGTC